TCTAGGTCGGAGCCGAAAAACGGTATGTGGGGTTTGTAACAGGATATCAGAAGGATTTGGGATGTGGAGGTTCCAATGGCGACAACAGTGCATTCTAGGACGGTTGTTGGAGGGATTTGGTAAGGGTGTGTGGGATGGATCGTCGGGTGAGGATTGCAGTTCCGATTCCAGATGAGATTTGTCAGTCCTGGTGGTGATGTATGTTAGGGATGTTAAAGGATCTGTCGGAGGTCAGTATGTTCTTGTAAAGAATAGATTTCCACTGGAGTAGTCGCTTTAGGCTTTAGGTAGGATTTTTTTGGTGGTTATACGACGCCTCGCAGCGTTCAACAGCGAGAAAGGGTTAGGATTCTAGGAAGGGAGTCAATTCATTGTAGGATTTCGACTAATTCAAATTCTGCGGTATATTTGTTATGTGATGATGTTCGTTGAGCTCATGAAGATTTCGAATAGAAGGTTTTAAACGCATTAAGGTATTTTTTTGATTGGATTTTGAGAGAGAGGAACGTTTTTGATGCAGTTGGTTTTGTTTGTGGGAAGGTTTGTTGATAGGTGTGGGTCATAGGCTGGGTGATTCACGAAGCAGTTGATGCATTTTGGGGTGAATGGTTTGACAGAGGTATGGGAGGGACAGTCTTCAGTCGGGTGGGGATCAGTGCAGAGAGCGTAAGTCGCTTGTCTCCTGTAAATAGGCATTCGTGGAGTACAGTCTGGCAATTTCTGCACTGGGGTATTTTGTCTATCATCGTGTAGTCTTCAATGGTCACTCTAAAGTAGTGAATGAACCTTAGAATTTTCTTAATGTCTGTAATTTTTTGTATCTACTGTACGCGGGCCAGTTGGTGTCAACGCCCCGTCGGCGTCGCGTCGTGGCATCTTAGTGATGTGGTGTGTTGTAATTTTGAGGGCGGTCAAATTGTCTTTAATGGCAGTCAGGTCCTATTTGTCAGGGAGTCCTTTTATTACAAATTTTCTCTTTGCTCGTTCGGATGAAATAGCAGTTAAAAATAGTCCTATTAATCTGGGGTCTCTATTGATCTGGTCCTGGCGGTCACTTATATTTCCGTGAGTAGTAACAGTCAATGATTGAATTACCAATTCCGTTCTGGTGAACTTACCTGTCAGATGATTCCTTGATCAGATCTGTTGTGTCGAGGAAAGCCGTCAGGTCAATTCTGATTAGTCCAATACGTACTTTCTGGTTGGTTTCAGGGTCTGTTTATCGTTGGGATGATGATTTGTCGGCTAAAGGTTCGTTGGTTGTTGGCAGGTGTTCAGGGGTTCCTGAGTTTGATTGCTGTGGGTCCAGTTGGGGAATGTTGAAGGGATATAACTGGTTTCAGTTGGTGTGGAGGTTGGAGTTTGGTTCCTTTCGTTACCAATCGGAAGCCGTCATCCGTTAGGAAAATGTTGGTGTCTCAGTCGGGGAAGGAGTAATGAGAGCGTCGGAGGTAGCGTTGCTCGTCTGCGTTTGTTTGGGATATCTCCTCGCTGGCGTTGGAGGTCCCCGCTACTGGTGCACCAACCATCTCTTTATCGGCCATCCGAGGGTGGGAAGTCGGTTCTGCTCGCAGAAGCGGTGGTTGTTCTCCGCTAGGTCTCTTTGAAACAAGCTCTTCGGGGTGTTCTCAAAGGAGAACTGCAACGTTATCTAAAACACATTGGGGTGTCAAATGGCCTTTGGAGGTAGAGTTGCTCGTCTGCGTTTGTTTGGGATATCTCCTCGCTGGCATTGGAGGTCCCCGCTACTGGTGCACCAGCCATCTCTTTATCGGCCATCTGAGGGTGGGAAGTCGGTTCTGCTCCCAGAAGCGGTGGTTGTTCTCCGCTAGGTCTCTTTGAAACAAGCTGCTCGGGGTGTTCTCAAAGGAGAACTGCAACGTTATCTAAAACACATTGCGGTGTCAAATGGCCGTTAACTCCCAGTCGTAACTTAAATAGACATATGCGTACACACACGGCGAGAAGCCTATAAAGCAAGATTGCCAACGCTTCAAAGTCTAGTGCAACTTGAAGTGCACATGGAATACACACCGCGAGAAACCAGTATGTGTGTTCGGAGTGTGTGAGTTAAGAAAACAAATGTACATCGTTTAAAGAACCTAAACAGGATTGTCATATAACAAAATAAATGACAATTTGTCATTAGTAAACTGTAATCAGCCAATGACCTTCGCATAATAATTTCTCGCTTTATGCAATTTGTAATACTTGCTGGTCTTTGTCTTTCTAATAATTAGGATTTTGTAAAAAACTCATACCTACACTCCTACACGTGTTGGGACTGATAAGATTTGAGATGTAAAATATTTGTAATCTAGCGTGATAAAGTGAAGTAAGCTGATAGAATAGAGATAAGCCATTGATTGTTGAGTTTAATTTTTCCCCCTTGATTTGGAAATTTTCTAGTTTCTGATTTTAAAACAGTCAGATTAGTCAAAACTGGGCAAGGATAAACTGTTAGGCTGTAAGCAATGAATTAATGAATTACTCTATATGCAATGTATTGAATAATTTTTTGAGATTCGATTTAGGGCAATAATTCTCTCTGGTCAAGTTATACATACAGAGCCATTCAAATAGTTAAACGGTAGTTTAATCAAAATTTTCAATAGGTGTGGGTTAAAAAAATAAATAAATGAAATAGGCATCTTTACCATAATTTCAGGTTCATTGAAAATGAATCATTTAACATGTTTTAACAGCAAATATTATTGTCATACTTTTGTTATTTGTCATCCTTTGAACGTGTTGTGTGAGATGTGTTATATCATAATCTTCAGGTGAGTGCAAGTTTATAATTATCGCAATTTAAAACATAAAAGTGCACTAAGAATAACACTAATTGAGGATGGTTTTTGTTCAAAATTGACGTGTGCCAAAAACGAAAGTGTCTGAATTGAGTTTTTCTATTTTGATAATACTTTTATTGTTTTCAGAAACTTTCTAAATCTTTTATTTGTTTCTCCAAAATTTCAATAAATTTTTCTAAACTCTAAATATTTTTAAAGTATTTTTACAAAAAACTCTGCATTGGCTTTTTACTCATATCTTAATGTTAAGTGGTATATTTTTGGGACTTTAATAGATATTCGGGTAAGAGAATAATAGTAGAATGAACCTTTTTGTAATTTGTTATCCATAGGGAGGCCGTTGTAGAAATAAATAATTAAATGGATAGAAGGGGACCGTGGAGAAGCAGAGGGATATGCGTGGCAGATATGTTGTTATTCTGCGTCTAAAGGAATGGAAGGATTATTCATGGTGAATTATTTGTCGGTGAATCAAGTTTGTTAACAGTTAGTAGATGAGGGAGAGAGGTTCCATGTTGTCGGCGATTGGATCGTGCGATAGAAATATTAGCACACCCGCGACGGACAAAATACAGAAACACTTCATACAAACTTCCACCCGAGAAGATGTAATCGAATGAAAATGGGTGACGTATAATGAATAAAAATATTATTCAATAATTTTAGAAAACTTAAATAGTAGAATACTATTTAAAAAAATACGAGCTCAATTGAATTATTAGAGAAATTGAAATAAAATCGAATGTTATGAAAATGCTAATTTTGTTTAATTTAGCGTGCAATTTTTTAATGAAAGATATAGACAAATGCAATTCTCCAGAAAATTGCTCACGTCAAAACCCTTGGCACGTCAAACAATTGCAGTGGCGGCGACTTGGTAAGTAAATTTGTATTCGAACCCGCGTGATCTATCTAGTGGACAAGCAGGGCATAATTTAAAAACCAATAATATAGAAAACATGACAATTGCGACTCAAGTGGGACAAATCTTGACAAAGTATTTCGTGGAAATTCAAGCAACTTAAACGATATATAAAGCTGAGTAACATAAAAGACCCGAATTCCCACATTTCATTAAACTTAAAGAAAAGTAACATTATTAAGGATGAATTTAGAATATGTTAAAAATGTTATTTAAAGTATATTTGAATGATAATAATGTAGACCTAGAAGGAAAAGCGCAATCAAAAGTGCTAGTGAATAGAAAAATATTGTGATAACGGTTGGGGAGGAAGTAGAAAGGGAATCGGTGAGATATTAATGTTGATTTGCAGAACAGAGACAGGAGGCGTCAGGAAAAAGAGTATTACAAAATCCCAGCAATCTGTTCAATTTGCGTAAATCACAAAGTTGTCAATTGGAGGACAGGTTAATGATACAATTATTAATCAATTAAATGAAGAGAGCGAGAACTACGGGCATGCTGGCACAAAATTCGAAATATAAAAGCGAAAATTGGAGGAAAATCCAGTTACGCGCGCGGATATGTGCGAAATTAACAAAGTTAATTCAAAATTGGATTATATCACGGACTGCAACAAAACACACAACAGTAATAAAAGAGTCGATAAATAGCTGTGAACTAGAAGTTAGTAAATTGAAGAATATGTAAGTTAATTAAAAATTATATGGACCACAACAATGAATGATACGAAAATAACAAGCGTCGAAGCGAATTTAGAATCGCTAATACATAAATGCCAACAGAAAAAACAGGATGCGAGAATAGAAATGTAAACCAAAAGTCGGCGAGAAATAATAATGCGAGATGTACACGTGTGATCCCAGCAACAACATTCACCGTACCTTCAGCCAACGGCTCATCCGAATTGGAGGCTCATCTAATATCCCCCGGCCTTCATTAGGAGATCGTTAACGGCCATTTACACGCCAAGTGTTTAGATAAACGTTGCAGGTTCTCCTTATGACAAACACCCCGAGCAGCTTGTTTCCCAAAGACTAGACGAGATCACAACCACCCTTCTGGAGCAAACCGACTTCCCACCCTCAGGGATGGCCATAAGAGATGCTGGATGCACCAGTAGCGGGACCTCAATGCCCGAAGATATCCCAACCAAACGCAATACGAGCAACTCTACCTCCAAAGCCATTTGACACCCAAAATGTGTTTTACAGATAACGTTGCAGTTCTCTTTAGAACACCCCGAAGAGCTGTTTCAAAGAGACGCCCACGGAGAACAACCACCGCTTCTGCGAGCAGAACGACTTCCACCCTCGATGCGCCGATAAAAGATGTTTGTCACAGTAGCGGGGACCCAACGCAGCGAGGAGATATCCCAAACAAAACGCATACGAGCAACGCCTACCTCCGACCTCTCATTACTCCCTTCCCGACTAGACACCAACATTTTCCTAACGGATGAACGGCTCCGATGGTAACGAAAGAACCAACTTCCAACCTCCACACCAACTGAAAACCATTATATCCCTTCAACATATCCCCAACTGACCCACAGCAATACAAAAATCTCAGGAACCCGCTGAACACCTAAGCCATAATCGAACCCAGACAACCTTTAAGCCGACAATCATCATCCCAACGATTAAACAGACCCTGACAACCAACCAAGAAAGTACGTATTGACTAATCAAATGACCTGACGGCTCTTCCTCACACAATCAGACTGATTCAAGGAATCATTCTGACAGGTAAGTTCAACCAAAGCGGAGAGTATTGGTAATTCAACATTGACTGTCTACACTCACGGAAATATAAGTTGACCGCCAGGACCAGATCATTAGAACCCCAGGATAATAGACTATTTGAACTGACCTATTTCATCAAAACAGAGCAAAGAGAAAAAGTTGTAATAAAAGAACTCGCCTGACCAAATAGACCTGACTGCATAAAGACAATTGACCGCCTCAAAATACAACACACCACATCACCTAAGATCCACGACGCGACGCGACGGGCGTTGACAGCCAAACTGGCCGCGTACAGTAGATACAAAAAAAATTTAACAGATCATTAGAAAAATTCTAAGCGTTCATTCACACTTTAGAGTGACCATTGAAATACTACATCGTTATGATATGACAATAGAACACCCAGCTTCCAGAAATTGCCAGACTGTACCCACGAAATGTCCTATTTACAGTCGCAACCGACTTTAAAGCACTTCTCTCTGCACTCGATCCCACCCACTGAAGACTGTCCTCCCAACCTCGCAAAACCATTCCACCCCAAAATGCAATCAACTGCTCGTGAAGTCACCCAGCCTTATTGACCCACAACCTATCAACAAACCTCCCACATGAACAAAACCAACGCATCAAAAACGTCCTCTCTCCAAAATACCAATCAAAAAAATCCTTAATGCGTTAAAAACCTTCTATCGAAATCTTCATGAGCTCAACGAACATCCATACATAACAAATATACCGCGAGGAATTTGAAATATATAGTCGAAATCCTAACCATATAATTGATCCCCTTCCTAGAATCCTAACCCTTTTCTCGCTGGAACGCGACGAGGCTCGTAAACCACCAAAAAAATCCTACCTAAATCCTTAAAGGACTACTCCAGTGGAAATCTATTCTTTACAAATACATGACTGACCTCCGATCAGATCCTTTTCCATCCCTAACATACATCACCACAGGACTGACAATCTCATCTGGAGGAAAAGCTCACTCCTCGATAGTCATTTTTGTTTTTCGAACAATATAAATGGAATGTCAAACAGTACCGCTGAACAAACTGCTGCAATTATCCTCGTTGCTACCTCTTCTTATTCCTTATATACTCACCTTTACACAGCGCGTATGTGCATCTCAACACCACCCACACATGCAGGACACCGTCGGCCATCTTAAAGCTATGCTCCCGCCGCTGAAATTGACGACACCTCGGTACGTTTACTGGCGAAATACTTGCTTGCGGAACGACCCCCTAGATCTACGATCTAGCCTCACCCCTATAGCCCTTCAGCAGCAGAAGATCACTCCACCAACCATCTAGCGCAATATAGAAGTCATATACCTACACATTAACGACTAATACCTTAGTAGTTTACGCGCCACATGGAGACGAGAGATTATCAGCCTCTCGTACGTATAACCTGTCACCAGCTCAGCCGGCGCGTATTAACGTCCTTTGCGTTCAAACGAAGCTTAAACTAAATCTGCCACTGAAATTATTATTTATGAGATCTATCACAGATTTCTGACACACAGTGTTAAAAAACAACTTTGCAAAAACTCAGAATCACATAATGTAGCATAAAATTGTTATTCTTAGATTATGGTAAGTCACAAGTTGTTGTTCTGGTCTGCTCGATGCCACTTGCAATTTTTCTCCCATCTTCGAGTTTAATGCTTATATGATCATCAAGATGAAATTTGTGTTTTAGAGTTATTATTAGCGAAGAAGCGAGAAGGCTTGAACATACTTGAGTTTAACAATAAGTAATAACCACGACCCAAAATGACTTAGCCCGTTTCCGAAACGGACGACATACAAAAATCTAACTTGTTTACTGAGCAACACTAACTCGACTCTATATGCATCACGACAACATTAGACGCTAAGCAACTACAATGACTAATTTCTCTAAAAAGTTTGACAAAACCTCACAAGCAATACGTAAGACTTAACACTTCCATCTGTGTGTTGACAACCAATTACGGCGATTATAAATATGAAGAGTTTCCAGAAAAACCAACTATGAATATATCATCACGTTTCACTTCCAATACTTCAACCACTGTAAAATTTAGATTAAGCCAGTTGTCAAGCAGGTGGTCGTAAGTTTACCCATCCAAGGCCTCAGATCACGCGTCATCTTTTAACACTTCTCTTAGTCGCCGCAACTGTACCTTTCAAACATGATGAAAACTTAAGCAATAAACACATTTTCTGAAGATCAAGTTTTCCCTTCTGTCCTTTAAATTAACACAAAAATGACTCTTATTCCTCTGTGTCAGCAAACTCAACTACCAAATTTGACTTCCTTGAACTTTCTTTAAATCTCTTTACAATTTGATAACACGACATGTATTTGTTTCCTCTCATCTACAACAAAAACTCACAGATATAAGAGCTATTACGGCTGATCGCAGCACTCTAGAATTTATCTACTGGTAGCACAGATTATTCCCTATATCGCTACACTTAAATATTCCACAAGCGTATGAGTCTTCAGGCTTACGTACTTTTGCACTGGTCTGTTGGAAATAAATGTACTGTACAGACGACTCCCGTCTAAAGTCAACCCTTGCTGGTAAGAAACTTAAGCTCATAGCCCCATCTTACTAACATTACCAAAATAGCGTCAAAACATAGAAATGATCGGTATAATATGACACTCAATGAACCACGTTTTAGTATCTAGAAATGCACAACCTGGAAATTATACTTTCCCTCTCTGGAAAAAAGTAATACTTGGCCTCATTCCATATATGTTTCACAAACCAACAACGCACGCTTTGACAACATGTCATCTGTACACTCAGCCAGACCTCGCAAGCTTCTCCACTGGAGATGAAGCCGGACTGAGCGACTCGAATGGGCCATACCTGATAAGACCCTCATGCCCAAGTTTCATTGCATAAACAAATTTTGAGTGAGGCTCAATTTGTTGAGCTACACTAATGCTTCTTCAGGTTCTAGTTCATAGGACTTGATATTCCGCGAGAACAAGCGCGCGTGTCCTAACTAGGCACAGCAAGCGCCGCCAACTTCCACAGCCCCATCGTCTGGGGCTTTACCCCGCAGCGGCATCCCGAAAGAGATATCATTCATTACTGCGTGCGCCATCCCGCCTACCACCAAGAAATATCGTATGTTATATGGCGCACTTGACCAAAACGGCGCCCATTCAGAGTAACTTTCCGAACAGTGCACGACGCACGAAGCGGTTCCAAGACTGCATGCGATTCCTCGAACTGTTGACAATGGCAGAATCAATATAGAATAGCCACAAAACTGTCGAGGATTTACAGCATTACAAATTAAAAATGTTCGGAGCACCAATCTGTTAAAAATAATATTTTAAGAACTAACACAGATATTCTGGGAAACCTTATCGTTCCCCGTTCGCTGGTAATCCGATTCACGCCACGCCACGCGCTGACCCATTAACCAATTAAAATCAATATACTTGTGGCGGACATTCAGCTAATCTTATCTTGACACACATCGGCGGACACAGTTGACCTTGCAACCCCTAGAAACTCGAGTTGCTCCACAAAGTTTCACGAATACGAGATCGATCTCACTATACTCTTACATTTAGTTCCAAATATATAATTATTTAGATATATTTTCAAATGTAAAAGTCTTCCATATGTGACCACTTTATATCCATGCTAATGTTTCATTATATTTGTATAGATGCTATCATCTAGAGCTGTCTCCAATAACATGCTGTTTCCGATCTTTCATAAACTTCAATTCTTCTCGAATGCTTCCATTAATTAGTTTCGAATGCCCTTCAACACGGCGCGGAAATCCTACACGTCCACTTATAATGTCGCAGAAAAAACCTTCGACTCCGCCATATCTATAGATACAAGACCAATGTCCTTGATGGGTTCTTCGACTCTCTGACTCCGACTCGTTCGCCCGTCACCGGTCATCCGCCTAAATGCATTCAAATCATGATATGATCTTTAGCCCGTATTGCTTGCACTTGCACGGCGCAGTAAGACGTGCCCACATAGAACGATCGCCCGGAATATAGCTATGGCTTATCTTCAGACACGCCGTTGATCATCTATAGTGAACCTGCGCCCCTGTTCTCATGCCCTCAAGTCGCAATATCTACTCTACACGCAACTGCCGCCTCTACGCAACCGTCGAGCACCGAAATATTAGAAGGACCTACCATTGCGAAGGTGAATACCCGGGAACGAGACGCATAGAAAGGAAAAAACCAAGCACCCATCAGCACGCAGAAGATGAAAAAAACAGAGAGACAACGAATCTCGACGCGCGAACGCAAACAAAAGAAGCGACGAGTGTTACTAGAGGCACGGAAGAGTCGGAACTGAGAGGGACACGACTCATATGACCGACGATGAGAGAGAAGGACGACCACGCGAAGAAAACTGAGAGAAACAAGGACTCCCTGAGGGTTCCGCTATGACAGACACAAACTTTCTAATGCTTACAATGATGTGATTCTGGCAGTTATTTCAGATAGTTTTTTAAACTACGGGTGCTTCAGAAGAGAGTCTGTGGACTATGATCTTCATAAATATAATTGAATTAATAGAAGTGAGAAATCCTCGTTATGCCCGGTAGTAAATATCTAAATCAGATAAAGGTGAAAACTATTTGCACGCAAGGAATAACATAGTCCCAGAATCCGCTCAAAAATTTTCTACTTCTGCCGCAGATTC